AGGCAAATCTTATGACATTTAGACAAATTTGGCAGTGAGCGTGGCACCCAGGAGGGTACTGCACATCACAGCTGTTCTTTACTTTATGTCTTTACATAGAGGTGTGTTCCTGAAAAGTTGTGTGAGAAGTGATTCAGGAGGAGTAAATCAAATCACAGTTTAAATGTTTCATGGGAGTTTTCTATGTACAGGGACTGGAGGGGATGCCTTTTGTAATTATCTCTTAATTTACTGGTTTTACAATGCACAGTCTTCCTTCCTGCTGACTTTTCCTAATGTGGCCAACCAAAGTAACTAAAGAGCATTGAAGAAGCTTTGTTCTTCAGAAGGGAGCGATTTTATACTATTTAGCTTTCTTGCTTTTTTTCATTCTCTTTTCTGTTTCCCATCTTTTGCACAACTTGGCTTCTTTAGATTCCCCACAGCGAGGGGTAAGGAGGAGAAGATGGCAAAGAATAAAACATCAACCCAGTTCAAGATGGCAGCTCTTCTAAAAGGATTTGTTGTTGGGAGAGGTTGAACCTGCTGTGTGACTTCCCGCCTAGATGCCTGCCCTCTAGACCTTCATGAGACTTTCTCCTTCACATCATTTGAGTCCCTGCTTAAATATCCTTCCTCCAAGAAACCTTCTTAGCCCCCCTAAGGGCTTCCTCATCCTTTCTCCCAATATACCTTTACTTTTCATTTTTCACTTTTTATCTTATCCCTTCCTGACATTTTATTATATACTCAATTTGTTCATTTGTTAATTATTTAGTCGTAGTCACAAAATAAATTTCATGAAGCAGAGTAGTCTTTTTCTGTCTTGTTGACTGCTGTATCTCCAGTACTGGAAACAGTGCCTGATACATAATAGGTGCTCAAAAATATTTGTTGAATGACTGAATAATTTGGACAAAGTATGAACTTAGATAATTTTTCTTCACTGAACTCTATTAATAGTTTTTCTCCTAAACTAAAAAAACACAAATGTTGACCACAGTCCATTGATTTCCTCTAATTTTATCATAATATAAGCCTGATCGAGGCCACCTAATTCATTTGTAAAGTTAGTATTATTGTTCACAGCACACATATGTACAGACACGATTACCTGCCCCAGTGGTGGACACCAGTTTGGGCTTGCTGCGAGCACCATCTCCTTTGGTGGTGTAGGCTGTGACAGTGAGGGAGTAGGACGTTTCAGGCTGTAGCCCAGAAATGATCATGTCCTGAAATGATACAATAGAATAACACTGATTCAAAACATACTATGAATGCTCTGGAGGAAAAACAAAGCCATCCATCTTCATTCTGTGCATGCTTGGGCATTCCTTACAGCCATGCCAAGCACTGGGAGTTTCATGCCTGAAGCTCATGCTATGGAGACTGGTCTTCATGCTGACACTGAAGGGGGTGGAGTTTCAGGCATCCTAACAGGCAGCCCTCAAGGCAGTTTAAAAACAAGATACCTGGACCCAGAACTCATGAATTCTTGAACTTAAACTTGCCTACCCTTACTAGTTTGGTAATCCAGGGCAAGCGAATTTACCCTCCTATGCTTTCCTTTCCCATCTGAAAGTTGAAGTAATAATAAGGACCCACTAGGGTTACTGGAGGATTAAATGCGTTATATCAGGTAATCTCTTAGAGTTATGCCTGGTTCGTAGTGAACACTCCACAAACTAGCTATGATACCTACAGCTCCCCAGATATAACCATTGTAGCTGGGTCCACAGACTTGTGACGGGGCCAGTGCCTACACAGCCTGGTTTATCACTATCTAAGTATT